TTCTGTTGCCAGGATGACTCAGCTGCTCATGGCAATGCCTGGGCTCCCAGGGACACCAACCTGAAGTCCATATCTTCTGCTGCCTCGCTGAGCTCCAGGCCTGGAACAAGCAGGGTCCACGCACAGAGGGCAGCAGCCTTGCCTCAGCCCCTGCCCTGCTCCAGACTTGTCTGATGGCCTCTCCTGCCCTCCTGTCCCCAGCTCAGGGTCACAGCCCCGCCTTTTTTGAAGATGGGGTCTCACTACGTATCTCAAACTCAAGATCCTCCTGCCTCAGCCTCCTGTGTGAGCCAGGTTTCCCCTTTATCCTATTGCTTTGTTAAATAATAAACATGTATTATTCAGGAATAACTTTGGATTACAGACTACAGAGACCACATGGAGTCCTCACAGCTCATGGGGTTCCCTCTATCAGTGTTTGCACACGTAAGGACATCGGCCGGGAGCAGCTCTCCCTCTCTGGGCTTGGCAGCATCTCCACAGCTTTTCCACCAATGTCCTTATCTGTCCAGGATCCAGTGCTGGAAACCTTATCGAGTGGACGAAGATGCTTTGAATGTGATGGGTGTGGTGATTCTGTCCTTCCAGGGGAGAAGTCAGGGTTAGGGATAGGGATGGGGTGGGTGAAAGTACAGAACCTGCCCCATCCAGACTTGGAAGTTGCTCTGCTGTCACCTTGGGGCTGCGGCCCTCCCTTGGGAATGAGGGGCCATGGACAGTGCCCAGGCTCCTGAGCACCCTGCTGCAACTGGGACTGCTGGTGTCACCCTTACCCAGGAGCCCTGGTCCCCAGCAGGCTGCCCCACCTGCCGCTCCCTAGCTTCCTGCTAGGCATATTGCCCACCCCACCCTGCCAGTTGCCCCAGCGAAAACACCCTTTCTGAGTCAGGTGTGGTGGCGCATGGCTGTGATCCCAGCACTCAGGAGGCTGAGGCAGGAGAATCACTGTGAGTTTGAGGCCAGCCTGGGCTGCATAGTGAGTTCAAGGCCAGCCTGAACTACACATGGAGATCCTGTTTCAAAAAAACCCAGAAAAAACAAAAAAAAGTAAGAGTATGACTTCCTACAGGACAAAGAGATCGATCAGGAGGGGAGTGGGAGAGGAGGAAGGGGGTGCAACCAAGCCCCCAGTGAGAACTTAACTATTACGTATTAGGAACGTGCACTAATAAAGCTGGGTATGACGGTGCACAATTGTAATGCTAGCTCTCAGGAGGCTGAGGCAGGAGCATCACTATGACTTCAAGGCCAGCCTGGGCTACATAATGAGTTCAAGGCCAGCCTGAACTACCTAGTGAGACACTGTCTGGAAAAAAACTACACAATAAAAATCATGCAATAAGGGCTGGGGATTTAGCTCAATGGTTCAGCCACCTGCCTCGCAAGTGCAAGGTCCTGAGTTCGATCCCCGGTACCAAAAAAAAAAGATTATAAAAAACATCATGCAATAAACTATTGTATTGATCTGAAAAAAGCCAAAATTTAAAAACAAGGGAGCCAGGTGGGCATTATACCCAGCTCAAAGGGCGGCCAGGAGCAGAGGTGGTGAAACCGGTTTTTCCACAGAGGGTGAGGGGAATCAGATAACAGACAGGACAGGATTTACCAGCCCCCCAGTCTACAGAGCTCACGGTCAAGGAAAGGCCAGACCAGGACAGCCCGGAAGGGCAGAAGGGCGAGCTGTGTGGTTGGTGGAGGCGCCTCCCCTGAGGACAGTGAGGGGTACCCCGGGGTGCTGCTCTTCTCTGGGACGCAGGCCAGGCAACTACAGCTCACTTGCAGGCAGGAAGCCTGCGGTCTAAGTGCAGAGCGTTTTTTAAAGGCACGGGGACTGAACCCAGGACCCGATACTGGGCTACCTCCCCAGCCCTTTTTAATTTTAAGACAGGGTCTCATTAAGTCACCAAGTCGCCCAGGCTGGGCTCGAACTTGTGATCCTCCTGCCTCAGCCTCCCAGAGTGCTGGGGTTGCGGAGAGCGGCCGCCGTGCCCCTCACTTCTCTGTGTCCCTCGCCTGGCTGCGGCAGGTGCTGCGGGCGGAGCGTGGGAACTCCGGCGCCGCCGTCCTCGGGCCCACGCCGCCCTCTAGCGGCCAGAGTGGGGTTGCAGCCCCGGGGCTCCAGGACCCCAGCAGGGGGACGCGTCCTGTGGCCCCCAGAAGCCCCAGCCGCTTCTCAGCACGTCCTCCGTCTCTGTGTGTAAATAGCTGGGGGTTTTGTTTGTTTGTTTTTTGGTACCGGGGATCGAACTCCTTGCGCTTGCGAGGCAGGCGGCGAAACCACTGAGCTAAATCCCCGGCCCAATAGCTGGGTTTTGATGCCGGGGCCCGCGGCGAGGCGGATGTAGACACAGATGACAGAGCTGCTCCGCACGTCCGACGTTCTCCCGGGGTGCAGCAGCCGCCTGAGCCTCATCATCTTCCCAACCGAAGCTCTGTCCCCGGGGGAGCCCCCTCCTCCCTCTCCACCATCCGGCAACCACGCTGTTCCCGTGCACTTGACCCCTCGGTAAGCTCTCCCTTGGACTGTCCCCAAGGTTCCGTTCCTGGTAGTGAGAGTCTGAATTTCTGTTCAGATTGAGTAATAGCTGGGCGTGGTGGCGCACGCCTGTGATCCTAGCACTCAGGAGGCTGAAGCAGGAGGATCGCCTGAGTCCAAGGCCAGTCTGGACCAAAATGAGAAATGAGCTGGGACACGAGGAATCACAACCCGAAGTTACATTTTATTAGAGAAAAGCCAAGCCAAGCCAAACCAAACTCTCTGACTAAGAGACAAGTGGCCACTGAGAGTAGGGAACTGGCCTGGTCCTCCCAACCACCACTTCAGACAGTCGCTCTGTGACGGTAGGATCTGTGACAAGGTCCAAAGCAACACAACTCCGAAGATGTCCTAACCCCACGCCTCAGCCAGCCGCAGGAATCCCCGCCGTCCCGCCGAGCCGCTGCTGTGGAGGCTCCGCTCACAGGGAGGGAAGCTTCCGCTCACAGGTTGCGCCGGCCGTGACGCGCGCCCAGAGCAATCCCTTCCTGAAGCCCTCCCCGGAGCCCTTCGAGCTCTGCCCCGGACGCCCCGGGGTCGGGCGCTGTGAGGCTTCCCTTGCTGCAGCAGGCGGAATAAACCCAGCTTTGCAGAAAGAGGGAGTTCCTTCCCCGACTCTGCCCACCACCACCGTGACCCCCAGGACTGCGGACACAGGAGCCAAGCAGAAACGCCGCCCGCCCGCCAGCCCCTTTCCGTCACAGCGACCCCCTGGTCAGGACGAGCGCCGCTCCAGTCACAGAGGGGCACAGAGGCTCTGAGCCCGAGCGGCGGGGACGGCCACAGGCCCTTCCTGCCCCGCCTGGCTGGTTCCACGGAGCCGGCTCACCCGGAAGGTGGGCGTCGGCGGCCCCCGGCGGCCCCGAGCGCCCCCTGCTGTCGGCCCGTGTCCAGCGCACTCGGGAAGTGGCCAAGCTGAGCCCCAGCTTTGGGAGGTGTGGGCACCCTGGGACACTCTGAGATGCACAGCACACTTTTCTTTGTTCTGTTTTCTAGAGACAGGGTCTCGCTGTGTGTTCCAGGCTGTTCTCGAACTCACAGCGATCCTCCTGCCTCAGCCTCCCCAGTGCTGGGATCACAGGTGTGCGCCACCACGCACGGCTCCACACCGCATATCCTGCAGGACTGGGACGACTGGCATCGCCTGTGGGAGGTCACAGATGGCATGGAGGGGCTTCGGGTCGGTACGAATTTATTTGCAGTGTAAGAAAGAAAACATCGCTCGAGGGTCTAGCTCAGCGCGAGGCCCGACGGGACAGAAGGAGGCCACAGTCGGGGGAAGCAGCGAACCGGCCTGGCCCTTGGTGCGGGACAGGGAAGGTGGGGCAGGCGCGAAGACGCTCTCAGCGGGGGTGGGGGTGGGGGGTGCTGCGGTCCAGGCGCTGAGGACTCTGAAAGGTTCGGGGCCAGGGACCCAGGCTTGGGCAGGAGCGTGTGGCTCCCCAAAGGGAAGCCCCTGGGGACACGTGTTGCTCGATTTGTTCTGCACAAGGTCTCAGAAGTTATGAAGCAGGGCCGGGGATTTAGCTCAGTGGTTTCGGCGCCTGCCTTGCAAATGCAAGGTCCCGAGTTCGATCCCCAGTACCAAAAAAAAAAAAAAGAAGTTATGAAGCAACAAAGGGATTATTCCTTAAAAGGTAAGCTGGGCAGGTGGCACAGGCCTGTACTCCCAGCACAGAGGGAGGCTGAGGCAGGAGGATCCCTCCCAGCCTGGGCAACTCAGGGAGGCCCTGTTTCAAAATTTTTTTAAATGTTTTTAAAGGGCTGGGGATGGAGCTCAGTGCTAAGGCCTGAGTTCAATTCCTAGTGTTGCAAAAAAAAAAAAAAAGTGGGGAGGGCTTCTGGATGTGGCCTTTGGCAGTGGTAGTAAAGGGACAGCCTGGGCTGAGGGCCTGAGTGGTGCTCGGGGACACAGGCCCTGGAGCAGCCTGGAGGACTGTGTTGGGGGTGCACAGCCCCAGTCAAGGGAGCAGCAGGGGCCCCAGGCCGTCCCGGGGTCTGCCTAGGCAGGGCTTGCTGCAGTGGAGGATGCAGCAAGGCCACGTGGCTGTCTTTGGACCCTGTACCCTGCCCAGGTCCAGCTGCAACCCAGGCACCAGGTCACATTCTCGTACATTTGTGAGGCCAGGGGAGACGTCTGCTACCAAGACCCCCAGAAAGAACACTAAGGAGAAAAGCTCTCCACCAAATCCAAGAAGGTTGTTTCCCATCAGGTAAACCTCAAAAGTTTCAAAACCGTTTTTCTTTTGGTACCAGGGATTGAACCCAGGGCCTTTATACTGAGCTATGTCCCCAAGCATTTATTTATTTATTGGGGTTTTTTGGGGGGTTTTTTGGTACCAGGGATCGAACTCGGGTCCTTGCGGTTGCAAGGCAGGTGTCGGAACCACTGAGCTAAATCCCCAACAATTTATTGGTTTTTTGAGACAGGGTCTCACTATGTAGCCCAGGCTGGCCTTGAACTCCTAGTGATCCTCCTGCCTCAGCCTCCCGAGTGATTTGATTACAGGTATGCACCACCATGGCCAGCGTCATTTTTTGAGACAGGGTCTTGCTAAGTTGCTAAGTTGCCCAGGCTGGGATTGAACTTGCCATCCTGCCTCAGCCTCCCAGCGCTGGGATTACAGGTCTGTATCCCATGCCTGGCTACAAAAAGCACTTTTTCAGTGACCTTGGAGTTTTCTGATAGTTCAGCCCTGCATGCACAGCTGGCCCAGCACCCTTGGGAAATGGGAGACCTGCACCCAGAAATGGGTTGGTGCCCATGCGGAAAAGGAGCTAAAAGTTGGGGGATCCTGGGGACCTGCACTACCTCTGCTCTGGGAGGAGGCTGGGCCCCAGCACACTGGTGAGGTGTGGAAGGAAAGTGCAGGAGCAGGTCTGGGAGGGAAACTGAGTCAGCGAGGGCCCGGCAGGGCTGGTGGGGTCTCAGCAGCAGCCCGCAGCACTGCGCTTCACATGGCACGGCTTGCAGAAGAGGTGGTCATTCAGCGGGTAGCAGCCCTGGTCGGTGGGCTCCACAGACAGGAGGACACTGCAGTCCTGGGGGGACAAAGGTCCACATGGGTGTCCTGGGCCAGGCACAACGGAAGGGGCACAACCGGAAGGGACTCAGCCCTGCTGCAGACTGGCGCTGCCCCTCCCCTCCCAGTCCTCCCCACATCCCCCAGGGTCTCTGAACCACGGCCAGACCCAGGCTTCGTCTTCAGGGGGCAGCAGTGGTGATGGAGAGTCCCTGAGGGAGAAGCGGGGTCACTCTGAGACGGATCTGAAGGGATCACAGGTCGGTCACGTGGCCTGCGCAACCCCAAAGCCTGCACTGAGCACAAGCATGCGGGCAGGAGCCCACGTGCCACCAGTCCCAGCCGCAACCAGTCCAGCACACCCAGCCCTCCACAGACACCTGCTGGCTGAGTCTAATCCACGCTCCCACTTTGCAGGTGGTGAAACTGAGGTCCGGCCTCATGGCTGGTTCCGGGCCTGGGGCAGGGCTGTTTCCAGGCTGAGCTGAGGGTGGTTTGGCTTTGTGTTATTGAGGATTAAACCAAGGGCCTTCACACTGGGCTACATCCACAGCCCTTTTTTGAGACAAGATCTGGCTAAATTGTGCAGGCTGGCCTCAAAATTGTGATCCTCCTGCCTCAGCCTTCCAGAGGCCCAGGATTACAGGCGTGCACCACCATGCCCAGCTTGGGGGCTGTTTGTTGCTCCCCTGTCTGCACCGCTTCGACATTATTATTTCCAGTTTTTCAAATCACCCAAGGATTTCAGAATTAGGAGAGGAACTGGCACCCTGACTTCACTACTTTGCGCACCTTAACTGGGCATCACGTGGGCACACGCTGGATAACAGTGGGAGCGATTCGTGTCCGAGGACCTGGTCAGTGCACAGCTACCAGGCACCCCATCAAAGGGCCCGGTCCCCACAGAGGCAACTCTCAGGTCACAGGTGGCCACCCTACCTAGTGGGGAGCAGGAACTGATCATGCTCCTCTGTGGCCGGCTTGCAGGGCGCCCTCATGTGGCCGCTCTCTGCAACTCCAACCTGAGTCTCCCAGAAAACAGCCATCAGTGTCTCATTCACAACAGTCACCTGCTTGACCTCTCCTGAGTTAGAATCAGGTGGGAAGGACACATCAACCACAGGCAGGTCTCAGAGTCTGCGAAGGAGCTGCCAGACATGGTCCAGACAAATGTGGCTTAGAACCACTTGTCATTTTTTTTTGAAGACTATGTAGCCCAGGCTAGCCTTGAACTCCCTGGATTCTCAGAGATCCTCCTGCCTCAGCCTCCTGGGTGCTGGGATTACAGGTGTGCACTACCACGCCCAGTTTCCAGTCTGGACTTCTGAAGCAGCACTGCCAGTCCAAACTCTGGGTTCTTCGGCAGCCTCGAGCAGGTCCCGAAGGACAGGTAGGGACTTGCTGGCACCCTGGCCAGCTCAGAACACCAGTCACGTCCAGGACTTCCTGGCGCATGGTGGGGATGACAGCCCTGGGCTCCCCCACTGTCTCTCAAGACACACTATCAGCCAGACCCTGAGCTCCGCCCTGCAGGACAGCGGGGTATCAGGCAGTTCCTCATCTTTCTGGGTCCCTGACAGCCTGTGAACAGCCTCGGGCCCCAATCAGTCCACACAGACACAGCAGTGTTTAAAATGACTCATGGGCTGAGAGCTGCTGGGACTTCCTGTTAGGGGACACCCAGGGCCACTGCCATCAGCAGAGAAGACAAAAAGTCAGGGACAGCCAGGTGTGGTGGCACACACCTGTAATCCCAGCACTCAGGAAGCTGAGGCGAGAGGATTGCCCTGAGTGAGGCCAGCCTGGGCTACATGATGAGACAAACAAACAAATAAAGATGGTCGTAAAAGGGCTTTAAAGTCACCGTGAAACTTCTGACCCAGCTTGTGCTGACTCCCAGCGCTTCTCTGCAGCCTGAGCAGCCTCCCAGGCTCAGCCTGGCCCCCTGCAGCCTAGTGTGGCCTCCCTGGCTGCACACAGGCCTTCCGGCACTTGCACGCTGGCTCTTCACAGGGGTCGGAGAGGCCCTTCTTCCTCTGTGGAAGTGCTCGCCCTCCCTGACTGTCTGGGAACCGCTCATCCCATGGGACCCAGGACAAGCATGGTCTTCCCTGCTACCGCCCAGCCCTGCCTTCTTCGCAGAAGCCCATTTACTTCACTCTTTCCCAGCACCTGGAGGGTACCCCTCTCCCCTCTGTGGTGACAGCGACCCCATCTGTCCCCTGGGTTCTGCCTGCTCACCACCCAGCCCCCCCATGCAGTCAGAGGCCTGCTGGGCTGGTGGCTTCCTGCATGGGTCTCACTCTGTCCCCGGGCTTCCAAGGCAGGAGAACATAAACCCGGCTTCCTGTGCCCAGGCACAGAAGGGCTCGAGCTGCAGCCCTCCTGCCTCAGCCACCCACAAGGCTATCAGGAACGCACTTCTGATGGACAGGCTGATGGTAATCGTTCCCTTCCTCAGCTCTGAGAAGAGACCCCCAGCCTGCCGCATCCCTGGGTCCCAGGCCGGGAGGGCTGAGCCAGACACAGGCGCAGATCACTCACCTCGCATCGGTAGCAGTTCTCATGGAAGTTTCTCCCCATGCACTCGATTTTGAAGGCATCCTTCCCATCCCGGGGAATGATGGGATTCTCACAGATGCTGCACATAGGGGCGAACTTCCTGCAGGGAAGGGAACCGCAGAAATCAGCTGAGGACTGGGTCTCCCCTCCCGTGTCGCTGTGACTGCACCAACACTGCCGCCGCCACTGCAGGTGTCCCTGTCCCCTGCAGCGGTGCACGGGAGAGGGCTGTGTGATCAGGGCACTGCCCAGGGCGCCTGGGGCAGAGTCAGAGGGAGGTGGGATGGGTGTGTGGATGGAGAAGTGCTTCCAGGCCCAGCTTGGAACTGAAGCATTAATGCTCACTAGCAGGGGGATTTGGGGTCCTTGGTTGCTGTGTGCCTCAGTTTCCATGTTTAATAAAATGGATCCCTTAATGGGGCCTGGGCACTTCTGGGGTGTGGGTGGGCCAAGCCGTACCTGTAGAAGTCATCCAGGCAGTACACCTGGTCCTGGCCATCCAGGGCGAAGCTCTCTGCGCCAATGCGCCGGGCGCAGGTCACGCAGGTGAAGCAGGCTGGGTGGAAGGCCTGGCCCAGGGCCCGAATGATGTTGTCCCGGACCACCTCGCCACACCTGCCGCACTTCTCCAGGGTGTCCTGGGCAGAGGGCACGGCCTGAGAGCCACCCCGAGCAACCCCCACCCAGTCCCTGCTGCCGGCAGGGCAGGCAAAGGCACACAATCAGTTCCCTTATCTACGTATTTTTTTCTTATTCACTTTTGGATTTTGAGACAGGGTCTCATGGTATATTTCCAGCTGGCTTTAAACTCACTTTGTAGCCCAGGCTGGACTCAAAATAGAGGCGATCCTTCTGCCTCAGCCTCCCAGACTGTTGGGATTTCAGGCATGCACCTCAAGCTTGGCTAAATCTCTCAGCCAAGCACTTTCCTTTCTGATTCAGCTTCCTTCCAGAAGCACTGTGGGGAATGGAGTAACCCGATGCTCCAAAGTGCCCAGCTCGGCCCTGCCACAGGTACCTGGTAGCAGGGCTCACAGAGGGGACGCCCGTCCTTCTGGTAGAAGCTCTGCCCGGCCAGCTGGCGGTGGCAGGTGCGGCACGTGAAGCACTGGGCATGGTACTGCTTCCTCATGGCCTCCACGGCCAGCTCCCGGGGGCACACGGTCTTGTGGCAGAAGGCACAGACGTCTGGGCAGAGGGGACACAGCCCATCACCAGCCCAGCCTGGAGGACTGGACCCAATCCCACCCAGAATGAGCCCCAAATCTGTTGAGGGTGTGGCCTTGGGACCCCCATTGCCCCAGGAATTCTTTATCTGACAAATACTGAGGGTCCCAAGGAGCATTACAAAGGAATATGAGCCAGGTGTGGTGTTGCACACCTGTGATCCCAGCACTCAGGAGGCTGAGGCAGGAGGATCATGAGTTCTAGATAAGCCTAGACTACACAGTGAGACCTTGTCTCAAAAAACAACACAAGGGCCAGGGATGTAGCTCAGTGGTGCCACTGCCTGCTTGGCAAGTGCAAGGTCCTGAGTTTGAACCCCGATACCAAATAATAATAATAATAATAATAGGCCGGGGATTTAGCTTAGTGGTGCTGCGCCTGTCCCACAAGCACAAGGTCCTGAGTTCAATCCCCGGTACAAAAAAAAAAAGCTGGGTGTTGTTGTGCACATCTGTAATCCCACCACTCAGAAGGCTGAGGCAGGAGGATCGCCATGAGTTCAAGGCCAACCTGGCTACATACTGAGTTTAAAGCCAGCCTGAATTACATAGCAAGAAGCTGTCTCAAAAAACAAAACAGGGGCTGGGGATTTGGCTCGGTGGTTCTGCCACCTGCCTTGTAAGCACAAGTTCGATCCCTGGTACCAAACCAAACAAAACAAACCCCACACAAAAACAAAAAACTGCAGTAGTAGGATAATTGGGTTGTTATCTGCAAAAATAGAGCGGGTGCCATAGCAATACCTTAAACCCAGATAATTCTGGATTAATCAAAGATGTAAATGAGAAAAATGGAGCCCATAAGAATACTAGAAGAAACTAGAGAATTTTTTTTTTGGTACCGGGGATTGAACTCAGGACCTTTCGCTTGCAAGGCAGGCGCTGGAACCACTGAGCTAAATCCCCAGCCCTACAATTATTTATCACTATATAGATACATTTTTTTTTTTGAGACAGGGTCTCACTCTGTAATTCAGCTGGCTTTAAATTCACTATGTAGCTATTGTGACATTCCTCACGATAGCCTGCCCTGCTTTCTCCAGAGTGTTTTTTATTGCTTTTTCTCCTTTTACTTGGCCTAAGCTCTCTCTGCAGAGTTTCTCCCTCACTCTTCACTTTTACTTTCTTGATTAAACTTAGCCACTGCTTAAAAAAACAAAAACAAAAAGCTGGCCTTGAATTCAGGTGATCTTCCTGCTTCAGCCTCTTGAATACTGGATTATAGGCCTGCATCACTACACCTGGCTATTTATAACCTTACAGAAGTCCTTTTTAACTGTGACTTCATATCCAGAAGCCAGAAAAGGAAGCACTGGTATATCTGACTATGTAAAATTCAGATTTATTTGCCTAGTGTGATAGCATTATCTTTTTTTTTTTTGTACTGAGGACTGAACTTGGGACCTTATGCTTGAGAAGCAGCCTCAGCACCACTGAGCTAAGTCCCTGGCCCTAGTGTGATAGCAAATATCTGTACTCCTAGCACTCTGGTAGGCTGAGGCAGGAGGATCATAAATTCTAGTTCCTACTGGGCTACTTAGTGAGACCCTGTCTCAACATCAAAAAAAAAAGGCTGGGGATAGAGCTCAGTGTGAAGGCCCTGGGTTTGATCCCCAGGACTCCTGCCCCCCATATTACTCACTACTGGGCAGCTGTGTCACAGCTGTCCTAAGGAGTGACGTGGTGCCCTGGGGACTGCAGGAAGTGCTGGTGGGGAGGACTCGGGAGAACCGGCCAGAGCAACAGGACTTCGGGCACCTGAGCTTTGAGCACAGTGCTACTTCCTCCCCCTGGGGATTTACCTCAGAAAGCCCGGCAGAGGCTCACAATGGCCTGCAGGCAAGGCGGCTTGGCTCAGCTGTGTGTGTCACAGTGAGGAAGCACCCTAGAATCCAGCCACACCTCTGTCCTGTCCCCAGGAGGAGTCCTACACAGCCCTCAGACACAGCAAGGAGCCCTGTTGGCTCTGACTCAGGGGGATCTGCTCCAGGACAACAAAAGCAAACAAAGCAAATGGGACAGCCCATTTATTGCTATGATGGAGCATCCTGAGTCCAAAAACCCAAAATCTGAAACACTCCAAAACCCAAAATGTTTTGTGCACCAACAAGGCCACACAAGCAGGAAATCCCACACCAGACTGCACGCGGCGGGCCGCAGTGGAAATACAAGTGCACTACCATGCTGGCAGTGTTTGCAGTGTGCCAGAGACAAGTGAGTTTCATATGTAGACCTGGGGCTCCTCCCCGAGATACCGCAAAATCCGTAAAAATTAAAAAACCAAAACACTCCTTGTCTCAAGCACTTCGGATAAAGAATGCTCTTGGCATGTATCTGTGGGGAATTGGGCGGTACTTGCTTTGTGTTCACAGGACAGCTCTTGCCTGATGGGCAAGATATTTAAAAAGACTGCCCATACCCGGAAGAGAACGGGGAGACACTGGGGGAGGCTGTGAGGGGGCATTCACCCTGGAGACCCTTTTAGTTCTTTGATTTTGCAGTATGTGAGGCCAGAAGGGAGCGGTGTGTGGTGGCACATGCCTGTAATTCCAGCACTATGGGAGGCTGAGTCAGGAAGATCCCAAGTTTGAGCTCAGCCTGAGCAACTTAGCAATTTAAAAAGACCCAGTCTCAAAATTTAAAAAAAAAAACTTTTTTAAAGGACTAGATGCCGCCTGCCTCGAAAGCACAAGGTCCTGAGTTCAAACCCTGGTACCAAAAAAAAGGGACTGGAGATGTAGTTTAATATGAAGGCTCTGGGTTCAATTCCCAGCACCAAAGACAAAAACAAAATTGAAAGGTAAACAGTGAGAAAAAATTCAAGGCATTTTTTACTATCACAGCAAAAGGTGTGTGAATCAATATTTAAGCAATTTCAGCTATATATAAAGAGCAGGCTAAATCTGGTGGTGCACACCTATAATCTGTGCACTCTGGGGGCTGAGGCAGGTGGATTTAAATGTTCAAGCCCAGCCTGACCAACTTAGTAAGACCTTGCTGCAAAATAAAAAGGCTTGAAGATGTTGGTCAGTGAGAAGGTCCCGTGTTCAGCCTCCAGCACCAAAAAATAAAATAAAACAAAATAAAGCAGGAATAAACAGTTGCAGCACTGCAGTCCAGCCCATCACCGTGCAGTGTGAGCCCGGTGGGCAGGGGTGGGGTCCACGTACCCCTGGCAGCCCAGGCTGACCCCACGCGGGGCCCGGGGAGCAGTGTCCCATACCTGTGGTCACCTCTGGCTCGGGGACGCCCGCAGGGTCTTCTGGGGGAGGCGGCAGCTCCTCCTCCGAGGGCCTGAGGTGAGCGGGCCGGGGCTCCGCCAGGGTCTGCGGGCATAGAGCGAGGAGTCAGCGGCAGGCGCGCGGCCCAGGGGACGAGGAAGGGGGCCCTGGGGAAAGGTCCTGGAACCCCCTCTTCGGGGACCTGAAAAGCCTGGCCGGGTCTTCAGGCCGCAGAGGGCCCGTCCGGTCCCCGGGCCAGGGCTGGGTGCGGTACCTGGGGAGGCGGCGGCGGGGGCAGGTGCAGCTGCTCCAGGTCCGAGGCGAGAGATGCCCCCAGCGGGCCGGCAGGCTCCGGGTGCCGGGGCAGGAAGGCCGCAGGGGTTGGTGGAGGCGGCGGCGGGAGGAGGTCCGGGTCGACCAGGGCTGGAGAGGGCGGCGGGCACCCTGTAAGCGGAGGGGAGAGAGGGTGGACAGGAGGCCGAGGCGAGGGCGGGAGGCTCAGGGACAGCGCCACCTGGACTGGCTCCATCTAACTGCATGGATGGCTGTGGGTGCTCCGGAAAAGACTGAATTTCTCCGAGTCTTAAAATGCTCAGTGGAAAACGGGCATCAACTCCGTGGAGGATTATATGACATGATGGGCAGGGAGTGGCAGGGGACCAGGTCCTGGAGAACAGCAGCCCTGGATGCAGCCAGGTGGCCTGCTCGGCTGAGCTGCCAGAAGACCTGCCTGTGGGACCCAGCGTGACACCCAAGCCTGAGCTCTGGACCCCGAGCGTGGCTGTCACCCAGGAGCCAGCTAGAAACGCAGCTTCCCAGGCCGTCCAGACCTCAGACTCCCTGCTCTGGGGGTGGAGCCCCCAACAGACACTTAAGCCCTCAGGTGACCCTCATTCAGGCAAGCGTGGGAACAGCTCCCCCCTCTCCCAGAACAGGTCTCCATGAGGACCAGGTCCTGACAGCATTCAGGGGAAGGGCTGAGGAGAGCTTCCAAGGAGGGGCTGGGCAGTCTCCATCTGAGCCTGAGTAACCTTGGGAGACGCCAGGGTTGTAGGGACTCAATTGGCACTGGAGGAAGCTATGGGCACCGCTGAGGAAATGTTCTTACCAAAAATAACCCAAACAAACAATATATCAAAGATGGACATGGCGTTGCATGCCTGTGATCCCAGCACTTGGAAGGCTGAGGCAGGAGGATTGCCTGGGTTCAAGGACACCCCAGGCTACAAAATGAAGCTTTCCCAATCTCTCTCTCTCTCTCTCAAAGTCTCGCTGTCTCATTATGTAGTTCATACTGGCCTTGATTTGAACTCACTATGTAGCCCAGGCAGGCTTTGAACTTGAACTTGCAGCAATCCTCCTGCCTTAGCCTCCCAAGTGCTGGGATCACAGGTGTGTGTCATTACACCTGGCAAGACTCTGTCTCAAAACAACAACAAAGCACAACTAAACAAACAGTACATCAAACTTATTTCCATTTACAATAAATTTGGGAGACAGAGGAACAGTTGAATGAGACCACAGGAAGTAGAGGGACAAATTCAGCATGTGAGATGGGACCCTATAGAGAAATGGTCCCCTTTCTGCAGCAATCAATGGCTGGAGGGAAGTGGGGACTTCTGGGATTAGGAGACACTGCAAACAATGACTGTCAGCAGCTGCCAGACTCCTGTGGGTACGGAGCACTTGAAACTCGGGTGGTCCCTGCTGAGATGTGCCACAAGGGTTTGGGTGACAAGAGAATGTAGGCCAGGTACGGTAGCACACGTCTGTAATCCCAGCTACTATTTGGGAGGCTGAGGCAGGGGGACTGCAAGTTCCAGGCCAGCCTGGGCAACTTAGGGAGACCCTGTCCCAAAATAAAAAATAAAAAGTGCTGGGAGTACAGCTCCACGGTAAAATGCTTACGAGCCCTGAGTTCAAGATCTCATTAGTAATTTTTATGATTACATGCTGAAATATTTTTAGTATACTGAATTGCATAATATATATTAAAATGAATACCATTTATATCTTTTAACTTTTTTCAGTGTATTAGAACATTTCAGATTACACACATAGCTGTCATCTGTGACTTGATTTCTATTTTTATTGATCAGCACTGCTAGACTTTATGTAGTTCCTGAATCAGAGAACTAATCATCTCACTCAATTCTTCTCATCTCCTAGATGAGAAAAACCTAAATAGTTCACTGAATTATATAGTTCAAAAGAAAATGCTGGGGGAAAAAAAGAAAGAAAGAAAATCCTGGGTGTGGTGGTGCATGCCTGTAATTCTAGCACTTGAGAGGCTGAGGCAGGAGGATCACCCAAGGCCAGCCTGGGCTACATAGCGAGACCCTGTCTCAAACAAAAACAAAAACAAAAACCCCAAAAGACCAGATGTATAAACCATTTGTTCCACTACAGTGAAAAGGCTTTTTTTTTTGAAAAGGCATTTTTATGCCAATCAAGGGAATTCAATTACAGACAAGGTATGACATAATCATAAGGTATCTAGCTAATTTTGTTGGCATTGTGGTTAGAGGAGAAATACATCCTGACAAGTGTGCGGCTGAAATGCCATGATTGCTGGGGTGCCCTTCAAAATACCCCACAGGGGCAGGCTTGGCAATGGAGAAAAAGAAACAAAGTAAAACAGAATGAAGGAGGAGAAAGAGTAATGGAAGAAGAAGAAAAAGAGGAAGAGGAAGAAAGAAGAATGAAGAAGCCAGGCTTGGTGGCACACACCTGTAATCTCAGCACTCAGGAGGCTGAGGCAGGGGGATTGCCACAAATTCAAGACCAGCCTGGGCTACAAAGTGAGACCCTGTCTTAAGCCCCTGCACCCCCTCAATAAAAAAGGAGGAGGAGGAGAAGAGGAGGAGGATTATTAAAGGGACACTGTCAGTCTCCGACAGCTGCTGAATGAAGCTGGGTGTGGGTACTCAGGGTCCCGGGCACATCCTTCTCACACCTGTTTGAAAGTTTCATCAGACAACAAACACAGAGACACACAATAAACCTGCCCGAATGCACCTTCTCATCTCCACCATCAGCACACACAGCTTATCTGCTGCTGCCTAAGGAGCCAATGTTGGCAGAGGAGGGGACAGGGTGGGGTGCAGTCGCCCAGACCCTCAGGGCTGGTCAGTGGGTGCAGACAGGCACTGGGCAGCCCCCTCTTCTTCCTCTCCCGGTGCCACCCCCACATAACTTCCACCAACAAGGGGCCCAGCTCCCCAGAAGCGGGCGACAGGGGTCAGAAGGGAAGCCTCAGGGAGAGGCTGGACGGGCCTATGAATAATCTTCCGTCCACAGCCAGACTCCGGGTGGTGCTGCCCAGTGGCCCAGAGAGGAAGGGACAGGGGAGTACTGGGGGCCCCAACAGAATCTCAGGCCCTGGTGCTCAAACCCAGGCACAGGGGCAGGCAGCCTCTGAGGATCTGCCTTTCTGAGACGTTTCCTGAGCCCCCTGGCTGGTCTGATGGTCACACTGTGACAGACACTGTTCTAGCCAGAGTTTCATCTGGCTGACACATTTGGACTAGAACCATAGTTCTCTGTCTGTCTACCTGTCTGTCCAAGGACACCAGGGCTAATGTACACGGTGAAGCTGGGTAGGAGGGAAACTTCTACTGTATGGCAGAGTCACCATGGTCCTCGGGAATCTGTCGGATATCTCACTGTCACTAGCAGAGAGGATTGTGAATCCTCCCAACACAGAAGTGATATAAGCATTTGGGGCAATGGATAAGTCCATTACCCTACCTGGTCACTACATGCTGAGTACACATTTTAAATTATCACACTGTGCCCATAAATATGTACAATTACTGTCAATTAAAAATTTTTTGAAAAAAATTTTTTTGTAGCCAGGCATGGTGACACACACCTGTAATCCCAGCACTCTGGAGGCTGAGGCAGGAGGCTCACTGTGATTTCGAGGCCAGCCTGAACTACACAATGAGACAGTCTAAAAAAAAATTTTTTTGTGTGATGCTGGGGATCAAACCCAGGGCCTAACACATGCCAAGCACTGAGCCACACCCTCAGGCCCCTGGGGCTTAAATTATTTTTTATAGCATAGTGGCATAGTGACATGTACCTATAATTCCAGCTACCTGGGAGGCTGAGGCCAGCCCGGGCAACTTAGAGACCCAGTATCAAAATACATATGAAAAGAAAACGAAATGTGAAAAGGACTGGGGGTGTAGCTCAGTGGTACAGTGCTTGCTTAGGGTTCAGTCCCTAATACCACACACACACACAGAGTTCACGGTGTGTGATCTCCAGACTGGGGCAGCAGCATTACCTGGAATAGGTGTAAGAAATGCAAATTTCCCCGTGTCAGAAGTCCCAGGCAGGTGGGGCTGTGTTGGAACAAGCCTGGTGACGGTGTCGCTGAGGTCTGGGTGGACACAGGGTGGGATCGGCTCCAGCTAGCCTGAGTCAGGCTCCGAGCTCGGGGCAGCAGAGGGCAGAGGTCTCTCCCACACCAGCCTCATGTTTCAGGGCAGTGGGCCATGTGGCATGGGCAGCCCCCCACCCAGCTGAGCAGATGAATCTGCTCAGGGGTCCCCGAAGAGGGACAGCAGCTTCTTTAAAGAAGCTGAGAGCCGGGCATGGGGGTGCATGCTTATAATCCCAGCATTCGGGAGGCTGAGGCAGGAGGACTGCCCAAATTCCAGGCCAGCCTGGGCTACACAGTGAGTTCAAGGGCAGCCTGGACTATGTAGTGAGACCCTGTCTCAAGAAAAAGAAAAAAAAGCTGAGAAAAACTGACTGAGGACCAAGTAGGTGGCAGTGGGCCTGTGTAGACGGGTACCTAGCAGGGCAGGGTGGGGCGGGCATTTCCTCCCAGATGAGAAGCTACAGAAATGCCGTGGGTGCTCGAGGACCAGCCGGGGCTGAGGAGACAGATGGCAGTCACCATGGAGATGGCCTAAAGCGGGGGAGTCCCCAGGGTCCTTGCAGAGTGGCCAGCCACCCTGTGTGCTGTGGTCACAGCAGACTTGACGGAGACACTCGCCTGGAACCTATGTCAGCCCAGCAAAGTGGGACTCGAGATCCCTGGCTCTGCTGAGGGCTCCAAACTGACAGGCACCCGATGCTGAGCGAATTCTGGTCACCACAGTCTGGGTCCCCTCTAGGAAGATGCAGCTGGGGCAGGCTTGTGTGTCCCGGGCTGGGGGGTGAGGGAGGAAAGATGGACAGACAGCTTCCATCGCAATGAAGGAGGCCGTTGCACGAATGTCCACATACCCCCACCCTGGCATTCGTGTAGTGCCTTCTCCTGCCTGGCTGGGGTCCTATGACTGGCACCGCCTACTGGCTCTCTGGCTGGTTTCCATGGTGATGGACAGACAGTTCTGCCCTGGCCTTGCTCTGGGACAGCAGGACACCTGACTAGCACTGGGGGACCCCAGGGCTCAGCTGCCAGCCTGGATGGGCTGTTACCCTTGGCCTCTCTGTTCTCACTGTTCCAGCTGGTGGCCTGTCCAGAGCCACTGCCAGCCCCTGGCTGTCACCCTTCCTTCATACCGCCCAACCTGACAGTGAGCACTGGGGAGTCACAGGAAAAGAGGTCAGAAGGCTCCCCGTCACCATGGCAACAGGTCAGCTTGGATCACACACAGATAAAGAGCAGTCATTTAGGAAGTATCCATTTGTAACCAATCGGTCACATATGCAACCTAACTTTTAACCTAATTTCCATTTCCAGAAAAGGAGGCTGAGGTGGAAATTGAGGAAAACAGCGTAGGAAGCAGAGCCAAGAAAACAACCACTCCCAGATCCTTCAATTTGCTAAATCCATTGCTGCCCCAGGGCCTTTGTACTTGCTGTTTCTGCTGCCTTGAGCTCCACCTCCCCCTGGCCAGCACCATCCTGCCATGCAGGGCTCAGCTGAATGTCACCTCCTCAGAGAAGCCATCCTGACCAGCCTCCTCACCCTAGCGCATGTTATATCCATTATAACACATGCATCTATCTGGTATTTTATATTGTATTTTTTTCATCTCTGCTTCTCCCACTAGGATGTAAGCTTTATGGAGGCTGAAAACCTTGTCTTTTTTTTTTTTTTCTATTTTTGAGACAGGGTCTAGTTCTGTAGTTCAGGCTGAGCTTGAACTCCTGAATCTTCCTGCCTCAGCCTCCCAAGTGCTGGGATGATAGGCATGAGCCACCACTCCCAGCTACAGGCCCGGCTACCTTTTCATCCCCCAGAATAATTACAGCAGGTAAAACTAAAAATGTAGTGCCTTCTGCTTGGCAGATGTGAAGGTACCTACTTTACACATGTGTTAATTCATTCCATCCTCATAGCTACCCTCTCAGGAAGGTGCTCTCTTTATTCCTATTTTACAGATTGGGAAACTAAGGCACAGAGAGGTTAAGCGGCCAGCCAATGTCACCAGCTGAGAAATGGAGGAGCAAGGATTCAGACTTGGGCAGGTGGGTTGCACAGCCTGCCTGGCGCCCAAGAGGCACCTGACAGATGAATGAATGAATGGCTCCAGCTCCCCTTCTGGCCCTCCACGATGTTCCCCTCTTACCTCCATTGGAGGGCTGTGGGGGTGCAGCGGGGACTGTGGCTACAGCCCTGCCAGGAAGGGTCCAGGGTCTCCCAGCCACGCCAGCCCCAGGGGCCTTCACAGGGACAGAGGGCTCCCAGGGACGGCCATGCCAGGCCTCCCCAGCCACCTGCTGCACTTCTTTGGCCACGGCCACGTCGCGACGAGGGGGTGCCAGGGTGATGAACACGGACGAGGCGACTCTCTTCTCAGGTTTCGAGGCCATCGCTCTGGGTCCTGCAGGAATGGGGCACAGCCCATCAGGAACCAGAGGCTGAGGGCTCGGGGCATCCTTCTCCAACAGGCCAGGGCGGCACCCCCACTCATGAGCTGGTGACCCTGCCCGGCACCCCGTCCAGCCAGGGGACAGGGTTCCCAAACAGGAGTGCAGTGCCCGCCAGGTGACAATGGCCCACAGGGCTGGGCCCCCACACTTCCCTGCCCTCCCTGCAGAGGGATGACTCTCTTGGCCTCAGAACCCGAGGAAGGCGAGTCCCCATGGCCAGGGCCACCCCCAGGCCCCCTCCCTCACCTGGGATCCCGAATCCTGGAGGAGCTGAAGTCCTGCAGGTCCCAGGGCAGCCTGCCGTGGAAGGGAAGAGAAGCGAATGTCAGAGCCCTAGTTGTCTGCCCTGCCCAGCCAGGCCCGGCCCAGCCCAGCCCAGCCCAGCCCAGCCCAGCCCAGCCCAGCCCAGCCCAGCCCAGCCGGGCCCCCTGATGCTCACCGGCTCACTGCCTCAGGCATCCCCACCAGGCCACAGGTGAGGAAACACTCTCAGAGGTCACAGCAGGGAGCTGGCCTCTGAACCCTGTGCCTCTGCACTCAGCCCCTCCATTCAGCTCTTCCCTCCTGGCCCGGGCATGTGGAACCCAAAGCCTCCTCTTGGCCTTCTGTTGCCAGCATCTCTCCTTCGGCCCCATCTCCAAAACCTCGGTCCTAGCTCAGGCCTGGGTACCAGTGGGGCCGGTAGTTGGACCCCAACCCCTAATCTGCAGCATCAATCTTTGTAGCTCACCAGCCAATCACATCCAAGGCACCCTACTGCCTGAGGACAACCTCTCCACTCCAGTGGCCTCAGCCTGTTATTCTTTGGTACTCGGGTGGAACCCAAGGCTTGTGTACCCAGGCAAGTGCTCTAGATACTGAATGGTAAGCAGCACCCTACTGAGCTGTACCTCCACTGAATAGGCCCCCTCTTCTGACCACCCATGGCGCTCCCTTCCCTGTCTTTCTCCTCACCTGAGCACAGCAGCCCCACCATCGCTTCCCCTTCACGCCTAGCAGTGTGAACTTTAGCTTTCCCGAACCCTAGCTCCAGTGTCATTTCCTCCAGGTGGCCTCCTGGACCCCTGGGCCTGGCCCCTCAGCAGTGGTCTGGATGATGCCAGCCACCACGGGACATGCTGGGCCGACCCCCGCCCACAGTCTCCCACCTGGTTTCTCTGTGTGCCAGTATGGCTCACAGTGCGGGTGACCAGGAAAGGGCCCTTTCCACCTTGGGGGCTCCTGCAGACGGTGCCCTCTGGGAGAGAGGCAGTTCGGGGGACACAGTGGGGTGGGGTGGCCACACTCAGCTCTGGAATTCAGCTGGGAACCCATCGACTTTGCCCAGGGCTAAAAATGTGTGCTTTGTGCCCCTCCCTCTTTTTGGCTAGAGCACCCTGCTGTGATCCTGCAGCCTTGGACTTAGAGGGTGGAGAGGACTGGGCTACGGGCCCAGCAGGATGCCAGGGCCCAGATGGTAGACTCGGAGGCCACGGAGAGTCTGAGTGGTCGCACACAGAGCTTCTGGCCCACCCATCTCCGAGCCCATCGGGCCCTGGGCTCTCTGGGTGAGGAATGGAGAGTAACAGCAACAAAAACAACAGTGTACTCCCAAATTCCTCTGAATTCAGTTTAGACATTTGGTTAAAAATGCATATAGCCAGTCTTATAACGAAACAGCTTTCCAAGTTCTTTTTTACCCCCAGTATCAGGGATTGAACCCGAGGTCTTCACACTGAGCTATAATGCCATCCCTTTTATTATTTTTTATTTTGAGGGCCGGGGTTTAGCTCAGTGGTTCCACCGCCTGGCCTGCAAGTGCAAAGACCCAAGTTCGATCCCCTGTACCAAAAAAAACCAAAAAACAAAAAAACCCCACATATTTTTTATTTTGAGACAGGGTCATGCTAAATGGCTAAATTACCTAGCCTGGGCTTGAATTTGCAATCCTCCCGCCTCAGCTTCCCAGGTACTCACTACCAAGCCCGGCTTACAAATTCTTTACAAGTACTTTCCAAGTGATCTTTGGAAGTACTGTTAGGAGTATAAGAATTTATTTTCGTATACGATTTTCAGAGTGCATCTGAGATTTAAAGATGAAATCACAATAGTACTTACTGTGTGCCAGACCCTGTACCCAGAGCTCTATGTTCCTCAAAACTCACAGAATTCTTATGCCAGCTGTAGGGAAGGTCCTCTATGTCCCTAATTCATAAACCTGAGGCCCCAAGACTTTAAGTGAATTTCTCAGGCCCTCCATGGGCAGACTTGGGATTCTAACAGGAAGTCCAAGGCACTCAAACCAGAATTCCAGGGCATCCTGGGACGCCACACCACAGGCCTTTTTTTGATAATTTTCTGGAGACGGGTCTCACTATGTAGTTCAGGTTGGCCTTGAACTCACAGCAATCCTCCTGCCTCAGCCTCCCGAGTGCTGGGATCACAGGCATGTGACACCACACCTGGTGCTTTTCTTCCCTGGCAGATGTACTCCACCTCCAAGTTCCCAGGCTGTTCTCACCCCAGAGTGGCAAGGCCCAGACTGGTTCCTTGTGTTCAGCACTGCAGGGCAGGTCCCAGAGCAGCTGCAGACCTTCAGGACTCCCCTCTACCGCTTCCTGGCCTGCTCTGACTCTGACCCCGACCCACTCCTCCTACTCCTCCGGGGAGCCAATCGGCCTGCTTTCTCAGAAGGTGTCCAGCCAGATGCTCACAGCTGGCCAACACCCCCAGGCCCCACCCAAGGGGTGAGGGCAGGGACCTCAGGGACAAGGCTGAGGGTTTTCAAAGCCAGTGAGGCTCATCAGGAAGGGGCTGTGCTTTCCTTTGGTCCCAGAGCCTCATGGGTCACCCTGGACGGGTCACCCAGCGGGTATGTGAGCAAGTTCCTTGCCAGGCAGCTCCCCGCCTGTGGCACCCAGGGGACCCTCCGCCCCCATTTTTCCTCCCCTGGAAAGCGAGTCAGAGATCCAGTTGGGTAAGCGGAGAAAGTGGGAACAAAGGGAAAGAAAGTCATTTCCTGCCAAGAGGAAGGAAGGAGGCTGGGATGAGCCAGCCACCAGTAGGTTTCAGGCAGTGGCTGGGGCAGGGGCTGGGGCAGGGGCAGGGCTGTCGGGGAGAGGGCTGCCCCGTCCCAGTCCTGGTCCCCACCCAGAAACACCTCTGGAACCAGCTCTCAACTTCCTTCCTCAAGGCCTCCATAAAGCAGTCTGGGTTTGGGCCCAGGGTTAAACTTTCCTGGGGGGAGGGAGAGTGTGTGCACCACAATGCTGTTCCCTCAAAGGACCTCGAAGCCTTGGAGAAGGGTCCGTCCTCCTCTTCCCTATCTCAGGGACAGGAAGAGGCACAGAGCTGGGCTCCAGCTGCGCCCCACCGCTGTCCAGCTGGGTAACCCCGGAGCAGGTCATCCAACCTCTCTGGGCCTGGTCTGGTTCATAAAGTTGAGAATAGGAGTCCATGCTGAGTGACAGGAGGACAGGAGAGAGGGCGCTCCAGATCTCGGTACTGACGGGTGCGCAGAGGGGTGCGTGGGTCACTCAGCCCCCGAGGGCGAGGAGGAGCCCCTCCCCCACCCGGACGCTGTTCACCATTACTAGGAGCCGGAATCCGGGTGCTGCTCGACCTCCGTCCCGGTCCCCAGATCGCCCCAGGCATCCACCTCGGGGATCGCCCAGCCCCACGCCCCTCGGCCCGAAGTGCACCTGGGGCCCCTCGTCCCCTCGCGACCCCGGAGCTCCGGAAGCCCGGGGCCCTACCGCGGGCAGCCAACCCGGGCGCCGGCCGGGTCACCGCGGGGCGCCGGGGGGACGCTAATTCGATCCATGTGCGGGACGCGGTTCTTTGTGCGGGAGCTTCCGCCCCGTGCGCCCCGGCCCTGTGCCCCGCTCTGGGCAGGAACCTGGCCCCCGCCACCCAACTCTGAGCCCCCCGACCCCGGGGACTGGGGCGCGAGGACAGAGGGACGGCACCGCCCAGCCCACCCACCCCCAGTAGCGCCGGGCTGGGGTCCTCCCGGAACGGGGTGGGTTCCGCCCGGGGGCGCAGCGCTGTCACTTGGGTGTGGCTGAGGCAGAAACGCCTGGCCGGCGACCCCCGCACCCCCTTACCTGCGAGCGCCCCGCCCGGCCGTCCGGACCCAGCGCACAGCCGGCCGCGCTCCGCCAGCGCCTCCCCGCCCCCGCCCTCGCGCGGCCGGCGCCGCTACCATAAAAGGTGACGTGGGGGAGGGGGCCGGCCCGCCGCCCGGAGCCCCCACCTGCCCCCCCACCTGCCGGCCTCCCGCCCCCGCCCCCTCCCTTTGTTTCCGGACCGCTCCTCCCGCCCCTCTCCGCCTGGAGGTGGCGTCCTCCGCCGCCCACCCCGCGAGTGGTCCTTTCCTCTCCCACCCCAGGTCACCCGGGTTGACGGCCCCACTTCCCCGATCAGGGCTGGAGTGGGAGGTGCTTGCCCCGGGTCTGCCCCTGGGATCCGCCAGAATCTTAAAAGTCAGACCTAGGTTCTCCTGCCTCTAGCTAAACCTGTGCCCTGGGGCAGTCACTCCAACACTCTGAGCCTAGGTGTCTTCATCTGGAAAGTGAAGGTGTCGCTGCCTACCTCTCCAGCTTGGCTCGGATGCTGAGTTTAGGGCTTCTCCGGGGAATGCCCTGGGTGGGGAGGCTCAGACCCCCCCCAGGGGAGCATTGATTTGCTGTCCCCTGCAGGTGGGTCCCAGTGTCCCCGGTGGGGCGGGCCCAGCTGGCAAGCAAAGGGCTTGGTTTGCCCCCTCTCCCCTCCAGCATGCCCTCCTCCAAGCTTGAGTAGCTGGAACTTGGTGGGAGGGGAGCAGAGCCGGGCTCTGGACTCTGGGGCCCTGACTGGGGCAGGGATGGGCCTCTGGGTCCCTGGAGGCCTCAGGAACTTTGCTGGGAAAAGGAATCTGGGTCTGATTCAGAAGCAAACAGATTGTTCTTTTGATTAAAGCCACAACGGTGCAGGCCAGGGGAGCACTGGACCCAGCACCATCTGGGGGGCGGCCAGGAGGGATCTGGCCCTGTCCTGCAGCCTGGCAGCTGTCACCCCCACCCTAGGGGCTCACATTCACGGGGGTCCTGGGGGGGTGCCTGGCGCTCTGTCCCATCCTCCTCTTCCCGAGTCCCCTCACCTGCTGGTGGTTGCCCTTCCTGTGGCTTCTGTCATCCTTTCCTCCATTCTGTCCCCACAGCTCCCCTGCAGTAACAAAGGCAGGGACTACAGTGGCTGCATTCATGGGGACCTCCCATGTGTCCACCTGCAGACAGCTTATCCGATCCTATGGACCTGGCTTGTCAGTCCGAGAGCCC